ATGTAAAAATTGGACTGTGTAACGTGGACCATTTCTGTGAAAAGTATTATTTTGCTTCTACAAAAAAATCTCAGAGTGACTGTTGTAGGTGGGGACCCGCAAAGCTGGCAGGGAACACAGAGTGTCTGAATTGCTCCGTTTTCTTTAATTCCATTGTGTCTGGGAGAAATCAGGCATTTTCTTGCCTGTGCCCCCTGTTCCCACCCTTCACCAAAATCCAGATTCCTCCACTCTCTTGGGTTTCCTGTGGTCAGGATGACCCCGAGAGTCCTTTTTTCCCAGCTCGATGGTTGAAGGAGTCGGAATTCCTTGGCTCTGGTTTTCAAGGTTGTTGATTGTCTCTTATCTAAAACATTCTTTTTCTGACCTGCAGAGGTCTGTTCAACAGGTCCGTCCGAGGCACACTGCCTGCCCTTGGGCTGGTGTCAACATTTTATGCTATGAACTATGTGTACTTTATTTACCATTATTTTCCAATACCTGTCACCTATGTTAGACTGTCTACTTTTACTCTAAACCAATCCAAAAGTGCTAGCATCACACAGAAGATGGAGGCTAGGAATAAGAAGGAAGAAGGACAGGACAACGCCCAAATCCCTCCATCTTGCCTCCTAGACCCCTATAGTAAAATCCCCAAAATTCCACTTTTCATCCTGTGATAAATTCATTATCATTCTACTTAAACTTTGTGACTTGTAATTCTTCATACAAGGTTGGTAATTTGCTCCATGGGTTAGAATCAAAATCCCAAGTGTCTTTGGCTTCCTTCCAAGATTCCCCAGCCCCCTGCCAGGGGCTCGAGCCATCCAGGGCACCCAGAGGGGTGTCCTGGGTTCTGACACCACTCCTCTCAGCTTCAGTGTGAAATCTAAGTTATGAAATAGTCTGAAAAACAGTAAGAGGAGAACTTAACTTTATACTGTAAGGACAAATAGGAGTAAGAACAGATTCTTAATGTCACAAAATATTTCAGAGCTTCCAAGGTTAAAATGTGTTGGAGACAGTTACTTGCGCATTTTAAACACTCTTGATAATAGACAACATAGCAAAAGTGGGTTGTAAGCCTTGAGCAAATGGAAGTAATCTTAAGGTTATTTTAATTTTGGTAACTGAGTCACACTGCATGTCAGATGAGGGCTGGTGTAAAATTCTGATGTTAATTTAACTTAAAGCTGTTAGGAGACTTTGTAGCTGAAATATCTTATTCATCAAAAGTGGGTTTCTATAGCTCTGCTATGAAGCTCTATATGAACCAATGCTGGGGTTTTTCAGCAAAAGTGAGCTGTAGCTGCCAGTCTAATTAAATTAGTACAAAATCCATTTAAATTAGCCCTTATTTACTTGGAAAAAAACCTACCCCATCCTTGCCACTGTTGTGCAGTTTTGTCTTCCTGCTTGTTGAGATTTGGTGAAGCACGTTGGATTGCAGCTTGCACAAGTTGCTCCATCATCACTGCCATGTCCTGCCCTGTTTGAGATGCTTCCACAGAACATCCCTGGGTGCTGTGTCCTGAGAGCAACTCCTGAGCAAACCTAGGAGTCACTGCCTATGTCACGATGTCAAACTGCCTTGTGTCAGGGAGTAACACCTTCTTACAGCAGCTATATGTAACTCTGCTAAATACCTGGATCCTTGGTTTGCTCCAAAAGGAATTATTCTGACCAGTTTCAGTGCCCTGAAATTTTTTGCTACTCTTCTGCTGTGTGGGCTTTGTTGCAGTAACAGGATAGTGGGTAAATACTGACACACACAATCTTCTGCTCTTGTCTAGACTATAAAGCAATACAATTATTACCTTCAAAGACCATCAAACTGTAAAACAAATCATTGTGTCTCAAGTTTACATAAAGCTACATAGATGGTAAATCTTTCCTAACATTTCTTTATTCCACTGTCTTGTGTTTTCATGTTGAAAATACTTCTGCTTTTTCCTCTTGAGTGCCAACTTCTTACTAGAATGACTTCTTAATGTAATATGTTTACCTGGAATGTATTTTAACTATTTTTGTATAGTGTAAACTGAAACATGCACATTTTGTACATTGTGCTTTATTGGATGTGGAACATATGCAGTGTGATCCAGTTTTTCCATAATTTGGTTGTGTGACCTAGGAATGTTGGTCATGCCAGACATTAAGTTAAAAAAAAAGGAAAAAAAAAAGACCACTGTTTGTTTTAAAATTTTTAATGTTTTTAGGAGTATGTGCTGTGAGGTGATCTGGAATTTGTCATTTTGTCAAACTGTACTGCTCCTATTTATTGTAATGTAATAAAAAATAGTTATTGTGAGTGTCTGTCTCAGTTTCCTTTTCCTCTGCAAGAATTTCAGGTAACAGAGCATCCCACGAGTTCCATGTGTTTGGCAGTTGTTCTCTAGTCTTTCTTGCACTTCTGCTGGTGCTGCCTGTCCCACAGCTGGTGTCCTTGCCCCCCTTGGTGTCCCTGTCTTTGAGAGGGGCAGCTGCTCAGAGCAGGTGGAGGTGCAGAGGAGCTCAGTTGATGTGGAAGGAGTTTTTCATGTCAGTGTGGTGGCAGAAACTGGAGCACGTGCATTTCATCACAAGGTACTGTACTCTGCCATCACTGTTTAAATTCTGTCCTAGAATTCTGTGAGGATGGTGCTGCATACCCCACCCCCCTCCTCCTCAGGCCAGCTGTAATGTCAGAAATGCTCGTTCAGCACCTTGTGAGCATCTGGAGCTCTTCAGAAACAGTTCCCAGGAATCTGTGCTGTCTGAAGAGCTCCTGCTTTGTAACCAACAGCCCTGGAAGCTTATTTTGCCTGCCTGAAGGACACCCCCAGTGGAACAGCATTTTTGCTTTTGAAATTTCAAAGAAAGTTACCAACCTGGACTGTAGTCAGGATGGAAAATTGCTGTGACTAAACCCACCTCACTTGTGATCCTATAAAGAGTGGCCTGAGTGAGGCCCTTGGAGCTCTCCTGGACTGCAGTGGGCAGTGACCAGAAGTCTCCCTCTGTGTGCAGCCCCTCAGAGCCAGTGAACTCCTGTTTGCTATTTGGAGAACCAGCAGTGACAACAGAGTGTGGAATGATGCCCTCCTTCCCTGAGACTCAACCCTTCAGCCACTGACAAGATGCAGAGGTATCCAAGGTAAGTGTTTCAGTGAATTCCAGGGAAATTTCATACCTTGTACATACTCCTTCAGGACTGTTTGTGAGTGTGGATATGCTATAGGAAATCTACCATGGATAGTGTTCTCAGAGATTCTAAGTACTGTAGATTGGCAAGTAACTCAGGACTGTGAGTGAGTTGCTGTTGTGCTTATAGGAAATTCTCTATGAATCTTTAGTTAAATTGTTTTAAATTAAATTATGGACTAAGTACTGTTAAGTTTAAGTGCTGTTAAACCTTCAGGCATAAATCACTAGTCAGATCTGGGGCTCAGTTCAGCAGCGGGGGGTCCAGTCTGAACTTAGTGACTCAATGGGAGCATCTTCCTTATTCATTTTATCCTTACCCTTTTCCATCCTTACCCTTTTTGTATCTCCAGCATCCTCAGAGATAAGTTTTGGTTGATTTTGGTTTTAACTGATTGATTTTAGTTTGTGTTTTCTCTGTGTGCTTTAACCAGCTAGTAAATAGTGGAGTGAACCTTGTTGAATGGACTTGGTCACACTTTTATTTTTATATTAAACCCGGTTTTGCTGATGCCTTTGCTGGCAATTCTTCGAGTGACCTTAAAACACTCCTTAGTGCCAGTATGAAGACTTGCTACTGCCAACAGCTCTACTGCAGTGATTCCTTACTTGTATTTCATAGACTATTTCTCTCTCTAGTCTCATTTAGTTGGTGGAAACACCAACCAACCCAACAGAGTATCAGCTCTGACACAAGTGTGAGTTGAGCCAAGGCCTACAGAGACAGCCTGGAGCAAACAGCCATGGCCAAACTTCTCTTCCAGGGGCAAAGGCAAAGTTTTCTATTCCTGCTGCAGCAGTTACACAACAGCAGAAATCAGCAGTAGCAGGAGTTGTCTTCAGGGCCCAAGTGCTTGAAGCACTGTTGTTCAAACTCACCCCTTTCCTGACCCCACAGCTGTCTCCCTGACGCAGCAAGGTGGTGCCTCTGCAAGTTGAGCAGATGAGGTTAAAAACTAAGAATTTACTTTCACAGAATCACAGAATAGTCTGAGTTGGAAGGGACCTCTGCAGAGCATTTACTCCAACCCTCCTGCCCAGGCAGGGTCACCTGGAGCAGGTGACACAGGAACAAGTCCATGTGAGTTTGGGATGTCCACAGAGAAGAAGACTCCACACCCTGCCTGGGCAACTGTTCAGGGCTCTGCGACCCTCAGTGTACAGAAATTCTTCCTCATGAGGTGGAACTTCTTGCTTTACATTTATGGCCATTGCTCCTTGTCCTGTTGCTGGGCACCACTGAAAAGAGCCTGGCACTGTCCTCTTGGCACCCACCCTTGAGACACTTATATGTATTGATAAGATCCTCTCTCAGTCTTCTCTTCTCTGGGCTAAACAGACCCAGCTCCTGCAGTCCCTCATAAGAGATGATCCAGCCCCTCATGTTTATGGCCTCTGCTTGATCCTCTCCAGTAGCTCCTTGTCTTTCCTGCACTGTGGAGACGAGAACTGACCACTCCCTCTCCAGGGCTGGGAACCTCACTTCTGAGAGGGTGCTCATTTCCAGCAGAAACAGATTGTTCAACGTGGAGGATTTTAAATCGGGTTCATCTTTCAGGTTACAAGCACAGCACTTTGAACTGACCCAAACACACAGCTATGGGGTAAGAGTTTCTGTTCAATACATACAATGAAGTGAAACAAAACACGGCTGTGCAATCACTCCTTCCTGCAAAATCCTTTCATACCTGAAGTTTTAGTTTGAGGAGGTCAAAATCAGCACAGGAAAACCTATTACCCATAACCTGCACACCGCAAACCCTTCAAGTGACCTCTGGTGGGGAAGCAGCTCCTTCATTTGTGCTGTAGAGGGTTTGGAAGGATTTATATGTCACTTCTTTGCAGTTAGAGCTCTTTTATTGTTACTTTTCCTGGGTGTGTGTGGTTACAGGCACAGTCAGGGCTTGTCGTCGCTGTAGTAGCGCTGCTTCATGGCTCGGTATTTCCTCAGGAAGTACAAAGCCTCCAGCTCCTTTATAACAAATTCTCCCCGGGCAATCAGCTGCTTAATTTTTTCAGGATCTGTCTCATCTTTGTTTTTTAGAAAAGCTGCTTTCAAACGGCTTCTGAAGTAGTCGGCTCCTTTGGGATACTCCCTTCCAAGGTACAGCAGCTTGGAGAGAAAAGAATAATGTGTTTTTAATTAACTGAGTGCACAGTGAAAGGGGATTTATTTTCGGGTTAAGGAAAGTGCTGGTGGCATTTAAGACACTTACATTTTTGTACAGTTTTATCACTTCACCTCTTAAAGAATTGGCCATTCTCACATTTCAGTGAACTCTGTCCTTGTGTGATTTTTTTGGTTTGTTTGGGTTTTGTTACCTGAAGGATAATCAATTTAAAATTAGCCTTCTCTGGGAGTCAGTAAACCACCTCAGCCTTCCTAAAACTTCCATATCCTACCAAGCCCCGTTTGCTCTAATTCTGGTTCTACTCTGTCTCTTCTTTCTTTTTCTTTCCCACTTTTTATTCTATTTAGTTTCTCATTGTCTTCTTCCCTCTCCCCTCAAACAGAAAATAAACTTCTAATAACTTTCAACAACTGGGACACTTCATGCTGTTCCTTGGTTGCTTTCTCACACCCTTAAAATTCTGCACCTGCTGGCCTGGCTGCTTCTACGGTGTGCTAAAAAACTACACATATATACACATATAAAGTGGTAAAGATATATAAGCAGAATACATATTTATGTATTATATATATAATGTATATATATAATAAGTATATATTAATATAGCAGTGTTTATAATAACATATTTTGATGTGTTTATTTTTATCTCCATATGTATTTATGTATTACATATTCCTATATTGTATATATAGGTATATGCATTTTATACATATACATTTATATTCCTGCAACTGTCACATTCATAAATTTTGCTTTTTTAAGGACTCTTCAAGTGCATTACAAATCGAGTCCAGTGTGCACCGGTAAAATATAAGGATAAGTGACAAAGTAACTGATTTTTCTTTCTGTAAACAGAAAATCACAGAATAGCCTGGGTTGGAAAGGACCTTCAAGATCATCTCGTCCCAACCCTCGGCCGTGGGCAGGGACACCTTTCACTATCCCAGCTTGCTCTGAGCCCCGTCCAGCCTGGCCTTGGACGCTGCCAGGGACGGGGCAACCAAAACCAAATCACAAGCGACTGGAATCCAATCCACCTCCCGCTGCGAGGCCTCCCCGGGCCGCCGCCTCCTCCTGGCTCTGCCTGCCGCCCCGCTCTCCCCGGAGCCATGCCCGGTTCCCCGCGGATCCCAGCGAGGCCGGACCGGGATCTCACCCGCTCCTCCCGGAACCGCCGCGGTGCCGCTTTACGGCAACGCCGGGAGCGCCGGGCCCGAGCTGCGCTTGCGCTTCGGGCGGGGCCTGTGGGGAGCCGCGGGGGCGTGAGGGACGCGGGCAGCGCCGCAGGCACTGGCGTCCTGAGGGACGCGGGCACCGCCACCCTCGGCGGGACATGGTGGGGCGGGGAAGGGGCCTGGGGTACGGGTTACATGGTGGGATGGGGAAGGATGAGGTAGTGGAGTAAAGCGGGGTATTCCTTGTTAGCTACCAAAGTCCCAGGAGGTAGGAAAAAGGCTTTAAGGCTGAAAGAAGCACCTGAAGGACGCATTGTCTTTTGTGAGACCCCCGATGTGAGTCCTTGTGCCGTGGTTTGCTGCTGTGGTTGCTCCGTGTGGAACCAGCCGGGAGGTGGCTCACACTTTGTTGCCAGAATGGCTCCGTGGTAGAAACTAAATTCCAAGAATCATGTGTTAGGCTAATTTTCTGCAATATTGAAATTCTTGTCATTATAGTTTTTCAATAGATGATCACATCCAATTGTAACGGAATAATAGTAGTTTTGTAATTATTCCTTTCTACCTGATACATTGTTTTCTGATGTTCTCTTTCCTTTTTTTCCCCCTTCTGATCTTTTAGGGTCCAAAAGCAAAAAAAAAGGTAGGTAGGCAGAAACTTGCTGTAGTTCACTGTTGTGTTTATTTTTTTTTTTAATCTGATTTTTTGGTTTTTTTCCCTGAGACAGCTGGCCAGGGTTAATGAATCTGAAGGAGTAAGAGGCGTCGTCAGGACACCAAGCTTTTGTGCCTTTAGCAGGGAAGCCAAATGTTCCTGCAGTGCTGCTGGAGGGAGCATGGCCAGTGCAGCCAGTGCTTGTTTGGCTTGGCAACGGGTGTCCAGGCAGAGAGGCAGTGTCCTGGCTCTGTCCCAGCCATGAGGTGGCAGCCGGACCAGGGCAGTGACTGTCCCCTGTGCTGGGCACTGATGGGGCTACACTTCGAGTCCGGTGTCCAGTTCTGGGCCTCTCACTGCCAGATGGACATTGAGGGGCTGGAGCGTGTCTAGAGAAGGGAAGGGAGCTGGGCAAGGGGCTGGAGCTCCAGGTACAGCTGGGGCTGGGGGTGAGCCTGGAGAAAAGGAGGCTCAGGAGGGATCTTATGGCTCTGCACAACTCCCTGACAGGAGGGGGCAGCCGGGGGAAATCGGGCTCTGCTCCCAGGGAACAAGGGACAGGATGCGAGGAACGGTTGAGGTGGCAGCCGGACCAGGGCAGTGACTGTCCCCTGTGCTGGGCACTGATGGGGCTACACTTCGAGTCCGGTGTCCAGTTCTGGGCCTCTCACTGCCAGATGGACATTGAGGGGCTGGAGCGTGTCTAGAGAAGGGAAGGGAGCTGGGCAAGGGGCTGGAGCTCCAGGTACAGCTGGGGCTGGGGGTGAGCCTGGAGAAAAGGAGGCTCAGGAGGGATCTTATGGCTCTGCACAACTCCCTGACAGGAGGGGGCAGCCGGGGGAAATCGGGCTCTGCTCCCAGGGAACAAGGGACAGGATGCGAGGAACGGTCTCAGGCTGTGCCAGGGGAGGGTCAGGTTGGACATTAGCAGGAATTTCATCATGGAAAGGTTTGCCAAGCATTGGAAGGGGCTGCCCAGGGAAGTTTGGAGTTGCTATCCCTGGAGGTGTCCAAGGAAGGCCTGGACATGGCACTCAGTGCTCTGGGCTGGGGGACAATGTGGGGATTGGGCACAGCTTGGACTTGATGATCTTGGATGTCTTTTCCAACCTGAATGCTTCTGGGATTCTGTTATTTGAGTGACAGGCTAGACACAGAATAAGGGGGATGAAGGGACAACAGGCAGAAATCCGTGGGAAACTGAGTTGCATAAATTGGTCCTGTGGATTATTCTTAATTCAGTGATAATGAATTTGTCTACCCCTTCCCAGCTGTGCATCTCACTCTTCTCAGTGCTCTGTTAAGTCATAGGAATGTGAAAAGAAGTTGACTAAAACATGATTTCACGTAATTGAAACAAGCAGGTTTTCCATTTTCAGTTTGTTTATTTATTTATTTAAGTGAAAAGAACAAATTCTTCCCTGAAATCCTAATGGGTAGAAGTGTGAGTTTTACTGACTCTATTTTGGAATAATTTTGCAAATGAATGCTTTGGTACCAAATGCAATAAGATGCACTCAGACTCTGGTAACACTTAATTGTCACCATTGTATTTGTCCCAGCTTCATGGCAATCTCTGTACTCAATGTTGCACTTATATATATATTTTTGCCAATATATTTATTGCCATGCCAAGTAGTGTGGACTGAACAAGTAGTTATTTATATCTGAATGTGTGATAGTCAAAACCAAAGTGTGAAATAAGTGTGTGTGAAGAAGGAACAGTGGTCAGATAATTTCTGAGAACTTCAAATTTAAAATATAGTTACTCTAGGATTATGCTGGAGGTGAACAGTGAATTGTCTAGAGTGAGATTTTACAATAGAAAAGAGAACTCTTTGCTATTTTGTCTTGTGAATTAGATGCTTCTAAATGCCAGGCTTGTCCCAAAATACGTTTTCCAGTATTTTCTAAAATATTTGAAGTTGTAGCATCTACTTTCTTATCAAATCTGCCTGCTAGTCAATTTCTACATTAAACCAAAAGATTTTAATTCTCTCGTGTTGTGCCTGTGTTTGGGAATGTCTAGCATAGAAAAATACATTAATTTTAAGACATTATCATAAAAAAGAGAAGAAAAAAATTTAGTCCAGAATATGCATTACTATTCTGGGGCCTTCACTGGCTGTCTAGGGAGTCTAAAATTTTAATTGAGGGATCACATTGGAAGGGAAAAGTTATAGAGTTATAGAACTGCCAAACAGTATTAAAATAATACTGACATTTGTTTTCCTCTCCCTTATTGCAAATGTGAAATCCAATGGCAAAAAGGGAAAATCTAAGAAAGAAAAGGAAGCAAAGCTGAAAGGTACTGTGCACTTCATTTAGAGGGAATGTGATGGACAAAATCATTAATTTAAAATAAATGGGCAGAAGGTAACACCCTGAACTAGATGTGAATTGCTATCTCTGTTTCCCAAATGGAAATGTTCTTCCCTCTTTCCTGGTGTGGGCTAAACTCCCTGTTCCTTGATGCTGCATCTCACTTCTCTATCAGAGCAATACTCTTCTCTAGTTACTCCTACTGCAATTAGGAACTTGGGAAGAACTTGCCATTAATCCATCCTGGTGGGGGCTTGGGCATGCTTGTGACTGCCAGTAAGTGAGGGCTAATTACTGGTAAAATTTCGTGATGGTAATAGAAGCTCAGGTGGCCACAGGCAGATTTGGGAGTTGCTGCTGCTCTTGCCTCAGTGCAGCACACAGTTGATATGATGTACTTGGAGGTGATGACATCAAGTCACTGTTTGGGAACTTCTGGGTTGAGGCACAGGCTGTGCAATCTGAGGCTGAAGGCTTAGTGGTTGAATCAGTTTTAGTTTTCACATCCTCTCTGATTTTCTAGTCCCTATGGCAGCAAAGAAGCCAGATCTGTGGAGTAGCAGATCCTGATGTGGATTTCAATGAAAACAGCTGTAAAATTCAAATTGTAGGAAACCAGTGGTTGTAGGAAAGAAGAAAAGGAATTTGGGATTAAAGCACTGAGTTCCACTCAAGATTTTGGATTGAGAATCTGTGTCCATTGAAGCTGTAGATGGAGAGAGCACTCCTGCTGCTGCACTTACTGTTCTTGATTCCACTTTTATCCTCACAGACTGATAGGGGCAGCGCCAGAGACTGTGTGTTTTAATACTACTCAAATTAATTTGGAGCAATCTTCATATGGGAGATTTCTGTGCAGTGAAAGATAAACATTTATGTTGCTTATTTTATAGTGGTTTTATCATTACAGCTGGTAACCAAATAATTTCTTAGATTTCATTTAGGAAAGCATGGTTATTCCCTTGATCTCTTTCCCAATCCTCAGCTGAAGCCCTATTACGAGCTCAACAAGAAGAAGAAGAGAGACTTGAAAGGGAAAGACTGTATCGAGAGCACTTGGAAAAGCTTGAGGCAAAGGTTAGTTTTTTACTCAATGAAAAAATCTAATCCTGTTTCTAAACTAGGGACAAGGCCTGTAAAACTCCAGTAATTTATAGGAATTCATTTTCTTATGCACGTATTGTTGGGAACAATATTGAGGAAAATTTCCAGTTTTGATAAATTTAAATATATTACCTTTTGTCATATGTCTTTCTTAAGTTTGGTTAAATGCCTTTTTTTTTTTTTTTTCCCATTTCCACTCTGCTTTCAATTGAATGCGTTTTTCAGATTCCCTATGAGGATGTTTGGTACAAATTCCTTAATTGGCTCCCTGTTCAAACAGATACAGTGATTTGTATTTGTATATATATATGTGTGTGTATTAGACTATGTATATTTATTTTACATTTTATATTTATACAGTCTGGCATTCAGAACAAAAACTGATTGATGATAGATAACTATTTCTGTGTCTAAAAAGAAAAAAGAGATTTACAGCAAACTAATTTTTTTAAGAGTCGCTCTTGTCTACTCCTGTTGTACTTCACAGAATATTTTTTTCCCCCCCTAGGGAGAAGATGACCTTAAAATTATAGAAACTAAAAGGGAAAAAATAAAACTATCTTTCATGTTTTTTCCAAGTTATGCTTACATTTTTTAGCAGTTCCCATTACAGCTGGCTCCAGGATGCTGATATGGAAACTGTTGAAATGAGAGGTTGCAATCATATGCCACATTATGTTTATCATATAGCTCAGCAGCTACTGTGATGACAATAACATATTACAAACTACTGCAATCTTCTCAATTGGATGCTTCATTTATGAAGCAAGTTTTCAGTGTTTGGATTTATTTATTATTTAAATAATAACTCGTTTAAATGTCCCCAATTTGTTTCTTCTATGTAAAATAATTGTAAGAAATAAGTCAGATCTTTAACTGCTGTTTGATATATGTATTTAACTGCTGTTTGATAGATG